TTTGGTCTCCTTTAATCTGGATCACTTATTCAATTTTTCATGTCTTTGTTGTTTTGAAAAATCCTTTAATTGGGATTTGCCTGATATTTTCTCATGAGTCTATTCAAGTTATGCATTTGTGGCAGAAATACCTCAGAAATTATGTTGTGTCTTTCTCAATACATTACATCAGGAGGCCCATAATACCAGTCTGACCCCACATAGGTTTTTTTCCCCAGTATAATTTTTTTTTACTCTGAAAAGTTGTTTTATTTAATCAAGGATGGGATTAATATCCAACATATATGAAGAATTTCTACCAAAGTCAGTTCTTTTGACATATGTGTATATGCTATGAGCAATTCACAGCATATAATCGTGCAACAAGATTCAACAATCTGAAATAATCAGAAACACAGATTAAAAGCATAGTAGGCCCCAGTATAATTAAGAAGTAATTTATTTGGAAGGCTGAGGCAGGAAGATTGCAGGTTTGAGGCCAGCCTCAGCAATTTAGTGAGGCCCTAAGCAATTTAGAGAGAACCTATCTCAAAATAGAAAATAAAAAAGGTCTGGGGATATAGCCCAGTTGTAAAGCACCCCTGGGTTTAATCCTCAGTACCAGAGGAGAAAAAGAAATAATTTTCAGGATATTACTTTTTTTTTTTTCTATGAAGGATTGAACCCAGGGGTGCTTAACCATTAAGCAACCCCCCAAGCTCTTTTTGTTATTGATTGATTGGTACTGGGGATTGAATACAAGGACACTTAACCAGTGAGCCACAACCCCAGACCTTCTTTTAAATTTTGAGACAGGGTCTCCCTAAATTGCTGAGGCTAGCCTCAAACTTACAATCCTCCTATCTCAGCCTTTTGAGTTGTTGAGATTACAAGAGTGGGCCACCAGGGCTGGGGATGTGGCTTAAGCTGTAGCACACGTGTCTGGCATGCATGGGGTGCTGGGTTCGATCCTCAGCACTACATAAAAATAAAATAAAGATGTTGTGTCCGCTGAGAACTAAAATATAAATATTGAAAAATTCTCTCTCTCTCTCTCTCTCTCTCTCTCTCTCTCTTTGAATAAAGTCTATCTTAAAAAAAAAAGAGAGTGGGTCACCAAGCTAGGCAGGGCAATTCTTTAAATCTATGTAAATATAGTGTTCCTCATCATACTCATACCCATTAATTTTTACCCTTAATGACACTTGCCTGAGGCAAGTACTACATCAGTGGTTGCCAAATGGAGATTTTCTGATTCCATCATTTCTTCTGCATTAATTAGTTAAAATTGTTTTGTAAGGAAGTTTTCACTTCCACTCCATTTATTTATTTAGATCAGTTTGGATTAGTGGATTCTTTTCTTTTAATTCAAATTAGATCATTGGATGGTAAAATGAGAGGCTCCAGACTAATCTTGTACTTTTCCTGCACTAGTCCTGGAATCAGCCTTCTCTCCATGGGTCCCTCGTTGCTGGTAACAGAAAATAGTAATTAGATAAAAGAAGTCAGTTAGAAGCAGTCTGATTGATTGGAAAAAAAGAAATAAACATAGCTCTCTTTTCAGATTATATGGTTTTGTATTTGACAAACTCTAGAGAATCAATGATAAAATAACTCTAACAATGAAAGTACTCAGTAAAGTGGAAGGATATGAAAATAACCTAGAGAAACAAATGGCCTTTATACATACAAACACTAATCAGTTTGAGGATATGATGATAGTGAAAAAAAACCATTTATGAAGGCAAGGAGTGGATGGGATGAAGCTCAGTTGTAGAGTGCTTGCCTAGCATGTGTGAGATTCCTGATTGGATCCCCATACCCACAAAGAAAAAAATGTAATAGCAACAAACAAAATAGTATACTTAGGAAGGAACCCAAAAAGAAATGTGAAAAAAAAACTTATGTGAGGAAAACTAATTATATATATATATATTTTTTTTTAAAGAGAGAGAGAGAGAGGGTTTTTATTTATTTATTTACTTATTTTTAGTTTTCGGCGGACACAACATCTTTGTATGTGGTGCTGAGGATCAAACCCGTGTTGCACAAATGCCAGGCAAGCGTGCCACCGCTTGAGCCACATCCCCAGCCCTCAATATTATATATTTTTTAAATATTTATTTTTAGTTGTAGTTAGAAACAATACCTTTATTTTATTTATTTATTTTTATGTGCTGCTGAGGATTAAACCCAGGGCCTCACAGGCTCTAGGTGAGCACTCTACCTATGAGCCACAACCCCAGCCCCCAATACTATATTTTTTATTGGTTCTTTTTAGTTATTTCTGATAGTAAGTTCTATCTTTTATTGTATTTTTATACCTTTATTTTATTTATTTATTTTTATGTGGCGCTGAGGATTGAATCCATTGCCTTACATGCTAGGCAAGTGCCCTACCACTGAGCTACAATTGCAGCCTCGGATACACACACACACACACACACACACACACACACACACACACAAAGCATAGAATACATCTTATTCTAATTAGGATCCCAGTCTTGTGGACGTACATAATGGTGATATTCACTGTTGTGCATTCACATATATATGTAGGAAGGTTATGTAAGGTTCATTCCACTCTCTTTCCTATTCCTATCTTTTTTGCCTTCCCTTCCTTCCATTTTGTCCAACCCAATGAACTTCTATTCCCCCACCACAACCTTATTGTGGGTTAGCATCCACATATCAGAGAAAACATTCAAACTTTGATTTTTTTGTCACTGGCTTATTTCACTTAACATGATAGTATCCAGATTCATCCATTTACTGGCAAATGTCATAGTCATTGTTCTTTATGGTTGAGTAATATTCCATTGTGTATATATACCACAATTTTTTTATCCATTCATCTGTTGATGGGAATCTAGGTTGGTTCCATAACTTAACTATTGTGAATTGAAGCTGCTATAAACATTGAGGTGGCCATGTCACTATACTATGCTATTTTTAAGTCCTTTGGGTATATGCCAAGGAACGTGATAACTGGGTCAAATGGTGGTTCTATTGCAAGTTTTCTGAGGAATCTCCATACTGCTTTCCAGAGTGGTTGCACCAATTTGCAATCCCATCAACAACGTATAAGTGTACCCTTTTCCCCACACCCTTTTCAACATTTATTATTACTTGTATTCTTGATAATTGCCATCCTGATCAATAAATGGGCAATGGAACTATTTTTTTAATTTAAAAATGCACTTGATGGTGCCTACACTCAGAAACAGTTGTTATTGCCTGCATATTTGCAAAAATAATAAAATGGGGGTACCATTCAAAACAAATTTTTTTAAAAAAATTAAAATGCACTTGACACCAGGCATGCTGGCTCATGCCTGTTATCCCAGTGACTAGGGAGGCTGAGGCAGGAGGATTGCTAGTTCAAAGTGAGCCTCAACAATTTAGCGAGGTCCTAAGCAACTCAGCTTGATTCTGTCTCAAACAAACAAATAAATAAAAATAAAAAGGTCTGAGGATAGTCTCAGTGGTTAAGTGCCTCTGGGTTCAATCACACACACACACACACACACACACACACAAACATGTTAAGGGCTGGGGATGTAGCTTAGTGGTAGGGCACTTGTCTAGCATGAAGAAGACTTTGGGTTAAATCCCCCCCAAAACACACATATACACATATATTAAATTAGTCCTTAAACATACTAAAAGATGCCCAGTCTCACTTATTCTAAGAGGAACACAAATCAAAACTACACTAAGGTGGGTTTGTGGTTGTGGCTCATTTTAGAGCGCTTGCATAGCACCTGTGAAGCACTGGGTTTGACTCTCAGCACCACATAAAAATAAGGTTCCTTTTGTAATTCCAGCGACTGGGGTACTGAGGCAAGGTCGAGCTTCAGCAATTTAGTGCCATCCTACCTCAAAATAAAAAGGGTTGGGGTCGTAGCTCATTAATAGATTCCCTTTTTTTTCTCCCACTGAGTCACATCCCAAGCCCTTTTTATTTTTTATTTTGAGACAGAATAGCGAGACAGGATCTTGCTGAATTGCTTAGGACCCTCCCTAAATTGCTGAGGCTGACTTTGAACTTGCGCTCCTCCAGACTCAGCTTTCAAGGCCACTGGGTTTACTGGAGTGCACCACCATGTCTGGCAAATGGGTGAGATAAACAATGTATCTCAATAAAGTTCATTGAATCAAAGAAAAAAAAAGAGCTCTGGCATTTTAGTATTAATTCGAATGTTTCATCATTCAGGTCCCCTCCTCCACCCTCCAGATGCCAGAACGCAGGATTCTACCTTTGGAATACACTCTCAGCCCTTGCTTTTGTTTTTGTAGTTTTAATAGAGCGCCCCTCCCCCCCACCTAGTTCACTGCCATTCTTTCCTCTCAGGTATTTTTAATTTTTTGGTAGCTAGGGTCCTTTACCTAAAATGATGTACAGCATCATGTTAATAAAATCATTGTCAAATCTTAGGAAAAAGGGGGTTCACCAGAGGCGGGATTCCCCTCAGGGGTCATTGGAAAGAGGGCGGGAACCAGAACAGAGGAAAGCTTCCGCTTTCATTTCTACGGTTATTAAGTCAACCATTCTTATTAAAGGAGTAGCACAGAAGGGTCATTTTCTGTCGGCAAACACTTCCCTAGCGAAGAGTTCACTCACGAGACAGGGATGCCATAATGTCTCACAACAACTGGTAACCCACAGAAGTTTAAAAGGCAGATAGGATGATTTGAAATCTAGTAAAACATTATAATAGAATCCATCTGATTTGTCAGTTTTGTTTTCTTTTCTACGTTTCCCAAAATCTGAACTTCTGAATTAGGTTCCTCCCCCTCTATTCCTGGCCATTGGTTCGGTCCGAACTTAATACTGACAGGAGGCACGAGCTGCGTCTGCGCATAAAGCTGAAGGGGGGGTGGGGGGGAGGAACATGGCGCAAGCTCTGTCTGAGGAGGAGTTTCAGCGGATGCAGGTGCCGCTCGCTGTGGGAAAGACCACCGGGCTAGGCGACAAGGGGGAGGGGTATAGAGCGGTCGTGCCACCGGCTCTGAGAATGAGTTGGCTGGAACCGACATTGAGTCCAAGGGATTGATCTGGAGAAGGGAAACTGAGGCTGTGATCGGCGATACTCTTTGATTCTGAGATATTTGGGCTCTGAAGATTAGATTCTGTTAGGCTTGTGGGCAGGGGAGAGTGACCTTTACTAGGCAATACCTTACTCAGAACTGGGGGGATGAGATCTTTGTGTCTGTGTGGGGGGATACCATTGGTGGGTGATGATAATTTTGGGCTTTGAAAGAAGGAGATCCTGAGGGCGAAACCATTTTGTCTGGAGAGGAAGGAAGCTGGCGTTGGGCCGTTTGCGTCACGGTGGGGGGAGCCCTTGAGAGGGCAATACCATTACCCTGTGGGAGGTGGGAAGTTTGTGGGAGATACTACTATGCCAGGGGATTGGGGAAAGACCCCAGGTGTGTTCCTGGGAAGTGGAGATACTGTGCCTTTGGTGGTAGGGGATCCTCAAAGGGGCGGTACCATTGGATTACTAGGGGTGATCCTTTAGGCCTGGGGTAAAGAAGGCCCTGAATGGGTAATACCATCAGTCCCAACGGGTGTGGGGGGGACCAGAGAAGGTAAAAAAGTGGTATCTTGGACTACATGGAGAAAGGATCACTGCACTTTTTGGAGGTATCCTGAATTGGTACTATGATTACTTGATTCTTTTAGGGTGGGAACTCTTGAGAATGGATGAAAGGCCATAGCATTGCTTCAGGAGTGGGCTCTTCTCTAGAGAGTTCCTTGCTGAGAGTTTCTGAAAGGAGAAAATCCTGAGAAGTGTCCTGTGGGTGAAGGACAGGAACTCTGAGAGAGGACAAATAATTCTTTTGGTCCTTGAATGAGGGAAAACAGTTGTTCCTCACTGGGACTCTTGGGGATGAAAGGGTGAGATCTTTGAACCATTAATTGGAAAGACTTCCCTAACCTTCACAAGGGATCTGAGTAATCAAACTGTCCCACCCAAGGCTTTGTATTTGAGAGACCTTGAAGTGTATAGAGTCATCCCATTCTACCCCGACTGGAGTGATCTTGTTGGGAGGTGGGAGTCCTTGGGTGAGGAAGGTTGATCCCACTGTGCAGTGAGTGAGAGAAAACCATTTCACTCTGTTGAGGAGGAAATCTAAGGGAGTGAAAAGAAGTGTTCCAGTTGGACCAGGACATGGAGAGGGATCACTGAGTCCTGGTGAAGACAGGGGCAGGAAAAGTTTTATAGAGACCAAACCCTCTGACTTTGAGCAGGGGAAGAGAAGTAGATGTTAGTGTGTTTTGAGGGAGGAAAAAGGTCCTGGTGGGGTAGGGGATAGTGAATGAGTCTGGGACCAACCAGCTTCAGAGCCCTACAGGGTTTGTAGAAAGGACTGTGCTGTTTAGAATGGCCCAAATTTCACTTTTTCTTAATTCTTTTATTTCTCTTATTTCTTTTTCTCTCCTTTTCGGTAATAAGGATTAAACCCAGTGAGCTGCATTCCCATTCCTTATTAATTTTTATTTTGAAACAGCGTTCTCACTAAATTGCTGCCGGTTTCACTAAGTTGCTGAGAATGGCCTCAAACTTGTGATTTCCTGAGTCACTGGGATAACAGGCTTGTGCCACTGCACCTGGCCCTTTCCCTTATTTTTTTTTTTTTTTGGTCCTGAGGATTGAACCCAGATAGCCTAAACACTGAGCTACATCCCCATCCCTTTTTATTTTTATTTTTTAGACAGGGTCTTGCTAAGTTGCTTAGTGCCTCCCTAACTTGCTGAGACTGGCTCTGAACTTGTGATCCTCCTGCCTCAGCCTCCTGAGTCACTGGGAGTACAGGCATGGATCATTGGCATGCCCAGCCCTTTCCTTAATTTTTGAAGGGGGCCTGGAGATGTTTTGAGAACCTTTGTAGTTACAGGATCCTGGGAATGCTCTTGACTCAGTGAAGGTTGGGGAGGAAAATACCAGACCCTCTTCCCTTGGGAAAGAGGTGGGAAGGCAAGCCCTTGTTCCTTGCCCTCAGGGGCCTCCAGGTTTGGTAAGATAGTGTTCAGTGTGTGAAGGAGTCAGCCAAGATGAGAAAGAGAAATTTTATCGCATGTGTGTGGGCCAGCGCTCACTGATGGCTGGAGCGCAGAGTGGATTAGAGGGGTGAGATTGGTTGGGGTTATAAGTGGACCTGTAGGAGGTGGGACAAGGGCTCAGAGCCTGGCAGCTCATTTTAGGATGCAGTATGTTTAAGTAATAAGGAGTGGCTGAGGAATCACTTGGAGGGTACCAGTCTAATCCATAGGGTTTAGGAGCTCGGTTCCCTTGTGGTGGGGGTGAGAGCACTTTTCCTAAGTTTTTTCCCTTCTTTTTTCCCCAAAGGCTCAGCTCCTAGAACTCCGGACAAACAACTACCAGCTTTCAGATGAACTACGCAAGAATGGCGTTGGTGAGCCAAGAGGGTCTCATTAGGTGGGGGTGAATTTGGGAGCCAGAGGCTGAGATTTTTACCTCAAGAGGCCTGGCAGGAGGAGCCTTCAGCTCCTTGCCACTGCCTGAGGTTGCAATTCCCTGCTTTCCTCACACCAGAACTTGCCAGTCTTCGACAGAAGGTTGCCTATCTGGATAAAGAGTTCAGTAAAGCTCAAAAGGTACCTTTCTCCAGCCACCCACTCTCTGCTACCCTTTATTTGTCTGACTCATTCATGTAGCCAATGAGCACCTACAGTGAACTAGACCTAATATTAAATGCTGTTTTCATGTAGTCATTTAAATAATTCTCATGGAAATCTCTTTATTTGGCTAGTTTTGTCTAATCCTGCTTAATTTATTGATTAACTTAATTTATTCTTATTTCATTCTATGTTCAGTTACTTATTCATTCTTAGTCACTAACTTTTCATTGAATACTCGAAGTCAATCTGCCTTCAATCTGCATCCCAACTTCTACCCACATTCCCACTTTGTCCCCCTATTTTCCATCCCTATACTGGTCCTGTTGGTAATATAAGACCCAACCCACCTCTTAGATCCCATAAAGATGAGATAGAATATAACTTATTAAAGCTCCTCAAGACATTCAAGATTCTCCTTTGTTTTCTTCACTGCTCTGTCTCCCTTATTACAATGTTATTTGTAGTACATGTGCTGGATAAATATTTGTTGGATGAACACTAATATAGATTGCAGAAAATCTCACTGTCAGGAGGCTGGGCTTCTCTTTGTTAGGGTACTAATTCTTCAAACCTGACCATGCCCTCAGCTGCTGAGAAGTACTTTCCATGTTCTATAGGAGGGATCCATATACACATGTTTGGATGATGTAGCAATAAAGCCACAATTTCTGAGCTTGGAGATCCAGCCTGTAAAGGGTTAAATACTAAGTCACACCTCAACCTTAAGAACATAGAGAAAAGGAAGATTCTTATGTGCTGTAGCACCAAAGCAGTATTCTCGTTTGTTCAGTCTCTTATTTACTCACTCATTCTGTTATTCCTATGGGCTCCAAATTGTCAAGAAAGTTCTGAGGTTGAAGACAATCTCACCCTATGACCCATGTCATCATTGTCCTCCATTAACAATAATCACAGTAGTCTCCATACCTTACTGAGGGTAGGATATATTCATCGCTGTTCACTTTAGCTGTCTTTCCACCCCTCACTTTAGGCACTGAGCAAGAGCAAGAAAGCTCAGGTAAGGGGGCTCATGGTGGGTGAATGTATCTGAGAGACTCTGTCTAAGTGGGAATATATCTCTGTGTGCTGGGATCTCCTCATACTGGCCTGCCTTTCTCTGTGTGTGCCCTTGCATCTACCATTTCCTCACTGTCATGTATTTCTGTGTCTGTCTTTGTTTTCCTGTGTTTGTCTTATATTCTGCCTCTCTGTGTTTTTCTTTCTTTTTCCATTTCTCTCTTTATTCTAATTCTGTCTATTCCTGGCTCTGTCATCCTGTTTCCTTCTCTCTGACTCTTGTTTCTCTCCTCAACCCTCTCTTTGTCTTTCTCCATCCTGTTCTTATCTCTGTCATCGTGGGTCTTTTATGTTTTTTTTTTGTTTATTTCTCTCTGACTCCTTGTTTCTCTTGCCCATTCCATTTTTTTTTCTTTTTTTCCCCTTTGTTCCTTTATCTCATCCTGACTCATTTCTTACCCTAACTTTCTCACTTCTCTCTCTGATCTGTTCTTTCCCTGGTGATTTCTCCCTGTTCCTGTCTTTTCTTTTTCTTTCTCTCTGATCCTTCTTTCCTTTCCTGTTATTACCTTTCCTTTTCTTTTCCTGTACTCCCCCTTCTTTGTCTGTCTCTCCCTCCCTGTTTTCCTTTCTTTCTACTTCCCCATGACTCTCTATCCATCTTTCTCTCTCTCTCATTTTATCCCTCCCTGTATGTTTCTCTCCTGTATCACCCCTTTCTCTGTACCTTATGCTCTTCCCCCACATCATCTTCTTCTGTCTCCTTCTTTGCCATACCTCCTCATCTTTTCTGCCTCTATTGGAGTCCTGGCCTATGTCTGCCACTGCAGGAAGTCGAGGGACTGCTGAGTGAAAATGAGATGCTGCAGGCAAAGCTGCACAGCCAGGAGGAGGACTTCCGTTTGCAGAACAGCACACTTATGGCCGAGTTCAGCAAGGTGCTGGTGCCTGGGATAAATGAGGGAACAGGAATGCTGTGTGCATGCTTGTGTGCATAAGTGTGTACAGGGGCTACCCAGGCTGAGACCTGACAACAACTGGTGGTTGGACAGGGTCTGACCTTGGATCACTGTCCATGGTGCTGAAACAAGTCCTGAAATATCGTTGGGGGGGCAATGATTTGACAGATGGTGCCTTTCACTGTGGTGCAATCAGATGGCTTCAAGCCCTGAGGTCAGCTGGTTCCTGGCCCAGGCACTCCTTTTCTTTGAACTTCAGGTCTCCATAAAATTGGGGCTGACGTATGGAGCATCAGGGTGTTGGGGAATTTTTAGCTAAAATTATTATGCTTAATATGGGTTGGAAAGGTATTTGAAGTGCTTCCCTTTTGTCTTCCTTCTCTTTGTCTGACATAAACTGGGGGTTCCACTTCTTCCAGATAATTCATCCTGGATCAGTTAATTCTATATCCTCACTGATTTTAGTGTCCTGGCTGCTTTTGAAACTACTGGGCAGTTGGAGACTTTGTCTTTTTGTTCTCTTATGTATCTTCTGTTTCCATGGCTAATTCTTTGTAAATTTTTAGCATATTTTCAGGAAAAAAGTCCCTTGGTAGCAAAAATGGTATTTATAAGGCTCCATCTGATAAAATACTTCTTAATACTTTAAAAAACAAAGCAAAAATCAACCTTTAAGCAAGTACAGTGCCAGGAGAGGCAGTTCAGTGAGCAATTGTTCCAAACATGTAGTCTGGTACTGGAAGACCCAGATTAAAAACTTTTTTTTTCCCCTCAGCACTGAAGATTGAACCTAGGGATAATTTACCACTAGGCTACATCCCTAGCACTTTTTAAATTTTATTATTTTTTTTAAATTTTGAGTCACGGTCTTGATGAGTTGCTGAGGCTAACCTCAAACTTGTGAACTTCCTGCCTCAGCTTCCCTAGATAGTGATATTGTAAGTGTGAGCCACCACTCCTAGCTAGGCCTAGATTAAAATCTTGGCTAACTGTGACCATGGTAAAGTCAATTCTCATTCCCAAATGTTTAAATGATGGAAATGATGGTGGTCATGGTGGCTCACGCCTGTAATCCCAGCAGCTAGAGAAGCTGAGGCAGGAGGATCGCAAGTTCAAAGCCAGTCTCAGCAAAAGTGAGGCACTAAGCAACTCAGTGAGACCCTGTCTCTAAATAAAATACAAAATACAGCTGGGGATGTGGCTCAGTGATCAAGTGCCCCTGAGTTCAATCCCTGGAACAAAAAAAAATGGAAATGATACTGATAACAGTATTTGTCTTGCAGGGCTTTGTGAGGATTAAATGGATAAATGTATGTAAGTCACTTACAACAGAGCCTTGGATGTAATATCAGCTATGGAAATGTTAGCTAATGATATTATCCTTCTATTGATTCAGTCTTACTCTAAAATATATTTTATTTTGGCAGTGTTGGGGATTGAACTCGGGGCTTTGCATATGTGAAGCAGGTGCTCTGCCACTGAGTCACATCCCTAGTCCTCTAAAATATTTCTTGATTTTTTGGGAAATCCTAGAGATTGAACCTAGGGACTCATGCGTACTAGACATATACTCTGTACAATTGAGCTACATCACCAGCTCTTTCTTGACTTTTTAAGTTTTGATATTCTGGGGTTGGGGATATAGCTTAGTGACAGAACACTTATCTAGCCTGGGTTTGATCCTTAGTGTCACACACAAAAGCCATCAAGTAGATGACTGGGGATATGGCTCAGTAATAAAGCACCTGCTTAGCATGCATGAGGCCCTGGGTTCAATCACCATTACTGAAAAAAATGTTTTATATCCATCCTATGGCCCTTGCCTGCCTCAGCCCTTACTACCTTTCATTTGAGATATATATATTTGGGGGCGGGTACTGGGAATTGAATCAAGGGCACTCAACCCCTGAGCCACATCCCCAGCCCTATTTTGTATTTTATTTAGAGATAGGGTCTTACCGATTTGCTTAGCGCCTCACTGTTGCTGAGGCTGGCTTTGAACTTATGATCTTCCTATCTCATCCTCCCTAACTGCTGGGATTACAGGCATGTGCCACTATGCCCAGCTTTACTTGCTACATTTTCACAGCCTTCTCTCTGGTTTTCTCACTACAATTTTTTTTGTGGGGGGCGGTACCAGGGATTGAACTCGGGGGCACTTGACCACTGAGCCACAACCCCAGCCCTCTTTTGTATTTTATTTAGAGACAGGATCTCACTGAATTGCTTAGTGCCTCACTTTTGCTGAGGTTGGCTTTGAACTCACAATCCTCTTGCCTCAGCCTCCCAAGCTGCTGGGATTATAGACCTGCACCACTGCACCTGGCTTCAAGTTTTATTTATTTATTTATTTTTATGTGGTGGTGAGGATCAAACCCAGTGACTCATTTGTGCTAGGTAAGCACTCTACCACTGAGCGACAACCCCAGCCCTCGAGTTCTTTTTTAATTGGTCCATTCCACATAGGTTGTTTTGACCTGCAGGTCTGCCTCATCACTACTTTAAACATTAACTTCTGGTGCTCCCCACCCTCTAGTTCCATGCCCCTGGTGCTCACATAACCACTGGTCTCACAGCCTTACTTGTCTATGCTTTTTGCCTCCATGGTATCTTGATTCTGATGGGGTGAGGTAGGTCAGGCATTTTTCCATACATCTAGCTCATGTTTCCCTGTACTACCCAGGGCTGGGTACTGGACCAGGTGTGGAGACTTCCTTCATAGTCACCTTCCTACTCCTCCCAGGCACTGGAAGTGCTCACAGGGAGGCACTGGGATCGAAGCCTGTATCCACCCCTTGTTTGCCAAGATATTTCAGCTCAATTGTTTCTTCAACAAATAGTTATTGAATGCTTGCTATGTTCTGTGTGTTCTGGAAATACAATTGTGAGCAGCACAGAATGTTCTCCACTCTTGCATAACTTACATTCTGGGGATGGGATTAGGAGAAAAACATAACATAATAAGCAAATAAAATTAGTAGGTAGTAATAACTGACATTTATATGGCATTTCCTATGTACCAGTTCCTATTTGAAGTGCTCTACATTATTTATTCATTTTAATCCTAGCAATAGCCTATGAGATATTTTTAGGATCCCTATTTAACAGATGTGGAAAACTGAGCCCCAGGGAGATAAAGTAATTTGTCCCAAGATAACCTGGTTAGTAAATGGCAGAGTATAAATTCATATCCAAGCAATCTCGTTTCAGAATCTGTGCTTGTGACTGTTAAAAAATAAAATTTAATTGTGATTAAAACCAGATAAGAAAGAAGTGAATGCAGTGCTTTGATAGAGTAGAATTTCGATGTTGAGGGATACCAATTTTTTTTCTTTTTGGTTCTATGGATGGAGCTCAGGGCCCTAAGGCTATGCAAGTGGTCTCTCACTGAGCTACATCTCTAGCCCATGGTTTACTATGTTAAAGGTGACATCTGAGCAGAACACTAAAGGATGCACAGAAGCCAATCATCTGAAGAACTAGGTGAAAATAGTATTTGGGATAGAAAATATCCCAGTCAATAAAAATAAAAATTTTCCTGGGCCTCAATGTTATCCCCTGAAAATAGGGACAAGGTATCATCTTGGAACTTCTATGAGAAGTGTATTTCAGTCAGGAAGTGAACAGGGGGCTGGCTTAGTTTTATTTTTATTGTTTACTCTCCAAGGCCAGGAGCTAGCAAGGCAAGAATTATAAGCAGTGGTGGCCCTGGAAATACTCTTAAAGTTTTCTGTGATGCTTGAGCTGAGAAGGAACTATCCCTGGGCGTAAGACCCAGGACACAGAGTTGTTTATAGAAGTCATGGCATTGGGACTATCCATGGTGCTGACAATTTCCAGAGGAGTGTGAGGTCTTAGAGTTTATCTGAGATGTTGGGAATAGGCAAAGGGGAAATTGTTCTCATCATTCTCAACCTTTTTGATTCTGCTAAACAGATGTGTGAATATGAAGTTGTTTAACATCTCTGTGCTTCAGTGTCCTTATCTGTAAAGTGTGAGAGCACCTATGTCATAGGTTCTTTATGGGAATTAAATGAATTATTAACTGCGTGGTCAAGTGCTATATATGTTTCGGTGAATAGTGTTCTGATTTGCTGCTTCTGTGCTTCCTTACTCTTCCCCTGCTCAGCTCTGCAGCCAGATGGAGCAGTTGGAACGGGAGAACCAGCAACTAAAGGAAGGGGCTACTGGAACAGGCACTATCCAAGCTGGACCCCATGTGGATGGGGAGCTGCTAAGATTGCAGGCAGAGAACACAGCCTTGCAGAAGAATGTGGCAGGTATGTAGAGGCTCTCCTGGGTATGTAGGGATCTCAAAATTTGAGTGAAACATAGAAGAATGTCTGCCTCTCAGGGGAAGGAAAAGGGCTTTAGGGCCAGGCTTGGCCTTGCTAAGAACTGCTGTGTGGCTTTGGACAGGCCAGTTTACCTCTCTGAGCCAAAGGGTCCTTATCTGCACAGTATACACAGTGATGGCTGCTACCTGAAAGATGGAAGTAGAAAGAGTTGGTATCAATCTGCATTTGGTTCAGGGCCTGGTCCCTAGCAAATGTTAGAGAGCAGCAGCATGAATGTTGAAAGGGATCTATTTACTAAGTGAAGAAAGTGAATGAAGGAGCTCAGATCATAGGTGGGGTTTGGGATAAAAGCTGAAAGACAGTTTGGTATATTGTGGGAAGGTCCTAATGCATGGACTCTTGGTGAACAGCTGGGGCTTGTTTGGTGGTGGATGCTAGTTCCATGATCAGGAGGGAGACTTGCTAGAATGTAGATGAGTATTCTGAGTTTATAGTAAGGATTTAGCTATAAGTAGGGGAATGGAGCGTGGCAGACAGGATCTCAGAGGTTGGTAGGATTTGTAAAGGCATGAATGGTGCTTGTGGGCATTTGGAGCAGGGTTTCTGTGACCTGAAGGATTGAAGGCCAGTTTTCCCTCTATTTGAAGCATGGCAAGGAACTTCAGAGACTACCTCATCCATCATAAACATACATAGCACTCCATCATATATTCTTATTCAACCCACTAGCCCTGCAGGAGCGCTATGGGAAAGAGACTGTGAAGTCCTCAGCTGTCAGTGAAGGCCAAGGAGATCCCCCAGGGGGCCTCACTCCCACTATCATGGCCCCCATGCCATTGGCAGAGGTGGAGCTGAAATGGGAAATGGAGAAAGAGGAAAAGAGATTGCTCTGGGAGCAGCTGCAAGGCTTGGAGGTAAACCTGGGTCTGTTGTGGCTGGGATGTCTGGAGGCAGGCAGATGCCCTGGCTCTGCCTGTGGTCCCACGGAGATGTCTGTGACATCACCATCTCGTGGGCACAAGGGAAGGGGTGAGGGAGGCAGGAGGACAAGGCGAAGCAGAGGCCTTCCCCTGTCCTTACTAACAACAAGCCCATCCCTCATCTTTCCTTGCAGAGCTCAAAGCAGGCTGAAACATCCAGGCTGCAGGAAGAACTCGCTAAGGTGGGGCTGCCCAGCTTATTCCTGGCATAGCATAAAGGAGCATTGTGCCTCCCTCAGAGCCTCAGTTTCATCATGGGGGAAGTGGAGAGACTCACACTTATCTTTCAGAGTTACTTTCAATATGGAATGGGCTAATGTGGCCCCACTCTATTTTGTGCATGTCAGGCCCCATCCCTTTTGTCCCTCCCAACTTTGCCCATTCATTCATTTATCCAAGCATTTACAGATTCCTTATTCTTATTTTAGAACCTAGCAGTCCAGCATTAAGATAACCAGTTAGGATCCTGATTTCTAGGCCTCCCAGACTAGCCATTCTAGGATGTGGCTATTGGCCACTATTTAGAGGACATAAGTGCTGGCCTTTGGAGCCCAAGGGATCTAAATGAAAATAATGCTTTTGCTGCTGACCAGCCAGGCAACTAAATTACTTATGCTTTCTGAGACTTAGTTTCCCAGTTTGTAAGACTGGTCGTAGTCACTTCTCAGGGCTATTTTGAGGATTCCATAGGATAACATAAGTAAATCATGTCTTTCAGAAAGGGTGCAGTGAAATTATGTGAAAATATTAAGTTAATTTTTATCTTTGTTAATATAATTATCATTTTCATCACTTGTCTACTCCCCTTTGTCCCTCCCATCCAGCTCTCTGAGAAACTAAAAAAGAAACAAGAAAGGTACACTTCCTTTTTGTATGGTTTTTAGGAGCCTAAAGGGACACTGACTTATAAAACTGACCCATCTATGTCTGTCTTTCTGTGTCCAGCTTTTGCCGTCTACAGACAGAGAAGGAAACACTATTTAATGACAGCAGGTAACTGCCAGGATTGGGAGCACTGGTAGACAGAGACTGTTCCATGCAGAATTACCTGAAGATCACAGGGGCAAAACTAGGAGTTTGAATCTTGAGCCACATCCAGTGTGCCCTATCCCTGTCACCCCCAGGAACAAGATTGAGGAGTTACAACAGCGGAAGGAAGCTGATCTAAAGGCTCAGTTGGCTCGTACCCAGAAACTGCAGCAGGAACTTGAGGCTGCCAATCAAGTGAGAAGCTCAGTCTTGAGATCCCTGGGGTGGGGACTCTTGTTTGGAGAGGTCTGTGGCTCATGGAGACTGGCTGGGCAGTCTGTAGTATTTCCTATGTTGGAAATTCAGAGATTAGATGGGCCTAGGCTTTCCCCAGGAGGTAGAAAAATAGGACCTTAGGAGCCCCAAGAGTTCTAAGATTTGGGATAAGGGTCTGTATGGATCAGAGGCCCTGGGACTGAGGACTTGGGGGATTGTGTATCACAAGTTCATATCAGTCTGAAACTACCACTGGGGTTTAGGACCAGTAGTAGGTGTGAGTCTGAACTTCCTGGAGACTGGGTGATGTTGAGACCTTTAAGAGTAGGGGTGTCAGTAAATTTGGCATCTCCAGAGGCCTAGGGCATGGGACAGTTGGTACTAGAGGTGTAGTGCATTTGAGACTCTCAGGGTCTGGAGGTTAGTTTGGGTCTAAGATGTTTAGGAAGTGGAATTGCATGGGCTAGGTGGTCCTGAGACCCCTGAGGAAAGTGAACAAAAAGCTGGACAGTCTGAGACCTTCAGGGGCTGGTATAAAAGTCTAGGTGGTTCTGTGGCTCTTGATGGTTGGGGGCTGGCTGACTTTAAAGCCTCTAGGTTCTCCTCTAGAAGGGGTAAGTCATAAGTCCATTGGAGAAGGGAATATGGTGGTTCATGGTACTAAGGCCCCTAGAAACTTGGAATATGGGAGCTGTAACAGGAGTCTAAGTAAGGCTGAGATGCCCCAGGACCTGGTAGTGATCTGTCTCTGAAGATCCTCAGAGAGTGGGGACCAGAGTAATAGGTGGTAGGAGTAAGTCTGAGACTTCTCTAGGAGCTGGAAACTAGGAGATTGTATGAATTTGAGACCTCTAGAGTCTGGAACTAGGAGTTTGTGTGGATCCAAAACCCTTGGAAACTTGAGACATGGGGGTTTTAGTGTTTCTGAAACCCCTGGTAGTCAGGGCCTGGAGTCTAAGTAAAGCTATTGTCCCTAGATATTGACCACATCTGTGATTCCTGGGGTTTGTATGCATCTTGAGAATCTGGGGCTCCCAAGCTGGAATCTGAGTTAGTGTAAGACATCTTATGGATGGGAGCTAGGGGAGTTTGAGTCCTCCAAGAGCTAAGACCAGGAGCTTAGGTGTATCTGACATGCTTGAAGGATGGGATAGAGGGTACAAGAGTGTCTAAGGCCACTTCAGGTTGTGACCTGGAGTCTGGTGAACCTGACATCCTTGATGGGTAGTCCAAAACTCACAAGTGCTGGGGATATACTGTTGATTACTCAAAAGGGAGTCTGTATGGTTATATGTACCTCAGGGGTGGCTGAGGTCTGGAATGGGCTCCCCTGACCTCCTGGTACCCACAGAGCTTGGCAGAGTTAAGAGATCAGCAGCAGGGAGAACGCCTGGAGCATGCAGCAGCTTTGAGGGCCCTACAAGATCAGGTACGTTGTACTGGGTGGGTTTGGGGATCTGAGGTTGAGGGAGTTGGCAACCTGAGTGAGTGGGTGCTACACAGGTAGGCAGGTCCCTGGGGGTCTTTCTTCTCCTAGTCCTGGTCTGTGGCCTGTGTGTCTGTCTGTTTCCTTTCTTTCTTGGCTGCGGGTAGGTCCTGCCTTCCTGTTCTGGACCCGCTCTCACCTGTCGTGGGGGTGGGGCCAGGTGTCCATCCAGAGTGCAGATGCGCAGGAACAAGTGGAAGGGCTATTGGCTGAGAACAATGCCTTGAGGACTAGCCTGGCTGCCCTGGAGCAGGTACAGGACACATGAGAGCCCTTGCTGATCCCTCCTCATTCTCCCATTTCTCTTCTTTCTGGTCCATACCCAGGCAGGGTGTTTGGATACCATGCTGTTTTCTGGTACCTGTTTCTCTTTTTGTTTTCTGTTTGCTCCAGCCCTCTTCTCTCTAGTCATCCATCCTTGCTTCTCTGACATTCTAGTTTCTCTCCAGTAAAGTGAATGAAATATAATAATCTTAAGTGTATAACTCAGTGAATTCTATCTCTCTATCTCTCAGTCTTCCTATTTTTCTGTCTCCACATAGCTACCTCCCAGATCAAAAAATAGTGTATTTTCAGTACCCTAGAAGGTCCCCTTTACCCTTTCCAGTCAATACTCCCTCAGAAATAACCATCATTCTGACTTTAGCAACATAGATTCACTTCATTTGCTCTTACTTTATATAAATGGAATCAATGTTACTTTGTCTTTGACTACTTTCTGGCACCTTTGTATACATGAGGTTTATCCAAATATAGCTTGGGTTTGTTCTTTTATCACTGTGAAGTACTCCATTGCATGAATATACCACATTTATACATTATCCTCACTGTTTTTCTTTTGAAATTTTCTCTCATTCTACTTTTCTTCATGCCTTTCTGGAACTGAGAGGCCCATGCCTCATGCCTGGGTCCCTGGGGCCCCTTCACTCCATATCCCATCACCACACTTTCTGCAGATCCAAACAGCAAAGACACAAGAACTGAATATGCTCCGGGAACAGACCACTGGGCTAGCAGCTGAGTTACAGCAGCGGCAAACTGAGTATGAGGATCTCATGGGACAGAAAGATGACCTCAACTCCCAGCTCCAGGTGATACTTCTGGCTCTGTTCTGTCTTACAGTTCCCCTAGTACTGGTTCAGTGGAATCCCCAAGAGGTGCAGTAGGGAGACTATGTAGTCAGGAGGACCTAGATTCCAGGCTGTTTGCCTGACTTTATTAGTATCCATATGTCCTGGCACAAATCATTTTGCTTCTCCGAAGCTGGGCCTCTTCAGTTCATTAGGATATACATTCTGATTCCATAGTATAGGTTATGTGTCCTTTATCCAACCTGTTTGGGATTAGAAATGTTTCAGATTTTTGATTTTGGGCATGTTAGAATATTTGCATATACTTACCAAGATGTATTGGGACTAGGACCCAAGTCTAACCACAAAATTCATTTGTTTTGTATATACCTTATGCATATAGCCTGGAAGTAGTTTTATATCATATTTTTAGTACACCTGTATTTTTCCCTTGGGGGAGACAGATCTTGCTATGTTATCTAGTCTGGCCGTGAAATTGTAATCCTCCTGCCTCAGCCTTCTGAGTAACTTGGATTATAGGTGTGTACTACTGTGCCTGGCTTATACCTGTGTTTTTCTATTTTTTAATAAACTTTTTAAATTTTTTTTAAATTGTAGATGGACACAATACCTTTATTTATTTGTTTGTTCATTTATTTATTTATTTTTATGTGGTGCTGAGGATCGAACCCAGTGCTAGGCGAGTGCTCTATCACTGAGTCACAACCTCAGCCCCACACCTGTGTTTGACTGTGACCTATCACAAGAGGTCAGATGTGGAATTTTCTACTCTGGTCTCATGTTGGTACTCAAAAAGGTTTAGATTTTACATTTTTGGATAGAAACTAGAATAATAGTAAATTAAATAAGAGAGAAGTTTAAATCTCTTTCATGTAAAACTCCAAGTAGGATGTTTAAGGATGAGTGATGGCTCTGCAATCATCAGTGACCCTCATTCTTTTTCTATTGCTCTTCTCCCACCTTCAACACAAGACTTTTATCTTGCATTCAGGGTGGTTGCTCAAGCTCTTCCACCATCATTTTTGCATTCCATCTTGAAGGAAGAAGGAAATAGGGCAGGGAATAGTATTCCCCTTTCCTTTAAGAGCACTACCTGCCAGGCATGGTGGCGCACACCTCTAATAACAGCTACTTGAGAGGCTGAGGCAGGAGGATCCCAAGCTTGAAGTCAGCCAGGGAAACTTAGTGAGATCCTGTCTTAAAATAAGATAAAAAGGGCTGGGGAATGTAGCTTAGTGTTTGTCTAGTATGTGCCAGGCCCTGATCTCAATCCCCAGTACCAAAAAAAGCATAACCTAAGTTACATCAACCAATTTCATAACATAAAAAGTAATCACATGAGTTGAGAGTAGTGGCACCAGCCTGTAGTCCAGCTACTTGGGAGGCTGAGGCAGGAGGATCCCTTGAGCCCAGGAGTTTGAGGTCAGCTTGGGCAACATGGCAATACCCTGTCTCATAAAATAAAGTAAGAAAAAAATCACATGGATACACCTAACTTTGAAGGAAGAGGGGTAATGCTTGCTAGACCATCATGTACCCAACCACAAACTCTGTTGCTAGGAATGTATGGGAGAATGAATATTGGGGAGCAACTAGCTGTGTAGAGGTTGAGATTATAACACTCACTTGACCAATGGAAAGGGAGATGGTCTACCAGAAGCATCCCAGGTAACCAGCACCTACTAGCTCTTCATCAAACTCATCCCCTTTGTTCCTGCATTAGGAGTCATTACGGGCCAATAGTCGCCTTCTGGAACAACTTCAAGAAATAGGGCAGGAGAAGGAGCAGTTGATCCAGGAACTCCAGGAGGCTAGGAAGGTAGGGCACCATGGAGAGAGGTGGAGGGACTGGCTCAGTCCAAGGAAATTGGAGGATGTAATATGTTCAAATCCATGGGAATGAGGGGGAGAAGAAAATGACCCATTTTCTGAGGATGGGAGAGTGACTCAGCCAAATTGATTAGACTGAGAGAGGGGTGTCTGGCTAATTCCTTGGTCATGGGGACAGGGTGGTGGCCCTTTTCCAGTATTAGGGAAGGAGGTTGATTGCCATCCTTCTGGCCCATCCTTCTGACCCCCCCCCCCCAGAGTGCTGAGAAGCGTAAGGCAATGCTGGATGAACTAGCAATGGAGACACTGCAGGAGAAGTCTCAGCACAAGGAAGAGCTGGGAGCAGTCCGACTAAGGCATGAAAAGGAGGTGCTGGGGGTGCGTGCCCGCTACGAGCGTGAGCTCCGAGAGTTGCATGAAGACAAAAAGCGGCAGGAGGAGGAGCTCCGTGGGCAGATCCGGGAGGAGAAGGTGGGTGGGTAAATTACGATGCCCTTCCTCCTCCAAACCTTGGGTACCACAGTATTGTTGATGAGCCAATGAATGGCATGTGTGAGGTGCCTGGTCCTCAGCCTACCTTTCCCTGGATGCCCCTTCCAGGCCCGAACACGGGAGTTGGAGAATCTCCAGCAGACAGTGGAAGAACTTCAGGCTCAGGTACACTCCATGGATGGAGCCAAGGGCTGGTTTGAACGGCGCTTGAAGGAAGCTGAGGTGAGTTGGTGGTGCCCAGTGAGACATAGAGGCTGCTTATGGGGCACCCAGGCCAAACCAGGGTGCAGAAGTGGTCAGGACCTAGAACTTTCTGAGTCGTCCTGGACTTGTGTCTATAGCCACAGTCCTGCTGGCTCAATAGCAGCCTTCTAGAGTAGACCAAGGAATGGCCAACAGACAGGGCAAAATGTTAGGTGTGAAATGCCACCCCGCCTTTGTGCAGATTTGAAAAGGCACCTGCTCTTCCTGGAATTTTACTTCTATCAGGAAATTGTTGTTATATACTGATTTGATTTGAACAGGAGCTTTTATTGCCATTTTCTGGAAAACTCAGGACAATACATAAGAGGAAATGTCAAGCAGCAGTGAAGAGCACAGACCAGAGCCAGTTTGCCTGGGTTTGAATTCTGGCTGGGCCATTTGCTAGCTGTGTGTCCTTGGGCAAGTCATCTGACCTCTCTGTGACCTGTTTTCATATTTGGTAGAAAAGGGATAACAATAGGGTCTGGGGGTGTAGTTCAGTGGTAGAGTATTTGCTTAGGGTGCGTGAGGACTTCGTTCAACTCCCAGCATAAATAAATAAATAAATATAAAGCCTACTGTCTAGGGATTATGGGAGGATTAGGGAAGATGAGTTAATATATGTAAAACCCTTTGAATATTCCTGGCATGTAGTAAGTGTTATGTTATGTGTTGTTAAATAAAAGAAAATGTAAATGCAAATCTAGAGTTATATGAATGGCACAGGCTTAAATGTAACACTTCTGCCTAAGGGCATGTGGTGTTTTCCTGCTGAGAAGTTCTTTTCTGCATGCCTGAAGGGCCCCACTGCAGTATACCCTTAAACTGGGCATAATGTCTTCTGGGGGACTGTGGCCAGACCCAGGACTTGTCTTGTAGGAATCTTTACAGCAGCAGCAGCAGGAGCAAGAGGAAGCCCTAAAGCAGTGCCAGGAGCAGCATACTGCTGAGTTGAAGGTGCTTCTCCTTTGATGATGTTCCTCTTTCCGGGTACTGAAGGGCCCTCAAGGGAGTACAGAGGCTTCCCAATCTGCAGCCTGAGCTACTCTCTGCTTTGCAGGGCAAGGAGGAGGAGCTACAGGGTCTACGCGATCAGCTCCAGCAGGCCCAGGAGGAGCGAGATGGCCACTTGAAGACTATTAGCAACCTGAAGCAGGTCAATGGTCCCTCTATGGCCCCAGACACACCCTTGGGTAAAGAGGGGGTGTGCTGCAGGCAGCTGTTTTGGCATCTGTCAGCCATGCTGCCTTTACCTGACAGGAGGTGAAGGATACAGTGGATGGGCAGCGGATCTTGGAGAAGAAGGGCAGTGCTGCGGTAAAATGGGGAGGTGCCCTCGTACAGCCCTTTCCTGGCATGTATGCCCTTCCTTTCCCTATGGGCCCCCTGGCCCTCAACCCTCATCTTCCCCCGTCCCTGCACAGCTGAAAGACCTCAAGCGGCAGTTGCACCTGGAGCGAAAACGGGCCGACAAGCTGCAGGAGCGGCTGCAGGACATCCTCACCAATAGCAAGAGCCGCTCTGGTGAGGCACCAGGACAGGAAGAGAAGGCTACGGTGCAGGGTAGCCAGGGCCTGGGCATATGAGTCCCGGGGCCTTCTTGCACCTCCGTTGATCCTCTCTCTGGCTTCTTCTGTCCCTCTTGAACTCTTACCTGTTTTCTTCTGTTTCTTTCTTTCTTTCTCTCTCCCTTTTTGTTTTCTCTGTTGTATCTCCATGTTTCTGTGTTCCATTTGTTCCCTTTCCTCTTAGATTGCCTTTATCTCCCTGCCTTCTTTCTCTACATCTCTCCTTTTCTGTTCCCCACTTTTTATTCTTTCTGTCCATTTATCTCATTCTTTCTCTATCTCCTCTCTCTGTCTGCATTCCCACTACCCCCATGTACACACTCCTATATCTCACTCAGTGTTTCTAAATCTGTTGTATCCATTCTTTCCTTCTATAAATTCCCACAGTCAAGTCCAGGGTTCCTGAAATAAAGCCCCCTGATTTGCTCCCCTCTAGGAACACCCAGTGGAGCTAGGGAGACAGATATCCATGCAAGCGGCAACATTGTACTGTTTTATTATATCCAATTCATGTTATTTCTGCCACTTAAGGCAAAGACAGACATAAAAATTAGGTTTGTATTTGCCTTTTTTGGATGGGGGTGGCCTATAAATACATTGAAATAAGTAAGATGCAGTGATGACTCTGTTGCATCTCTCAAACCATAGCCTCAGAGAAAACTCGCTCTCTTGTTCTCCCACTCAGGGTACTTGTGGAACCTCACTCAGCACCCCACCCATGCTAGAGAGCCCTTGGGGTGTGCTATTAACATACCCTTCCTGACACTGAGAAACAGCAACAAGAGCAGTGGCACAAATTCAATGCCCATGTTTTAAGTACATGGCAAAATGAATGTTATCTCATTTCAAATCAATTTCTCTGTGAGGTACTCAGTTTCCTGAAGTCACCTCTTTATAACAGGAATTTTGTTTCTGTTTCTGTTTTGTTACAAATTAAGTGGCACAGAACAGATTAGAATGGTATACCATACCTCCATCTTGTCCATTAAATGGAACTGAGATCTGGTGCATGGCTATGAGTCTGTCTCCATTATTTTCTTTTTCTTAACAGTCTGGGGATTGGACACAGAGGTGCTTTTACCACTGAGCTACGTTGCCAGCCCTTTTTATTTTTTATATTGATACAGTTTCTCACTAAATTGTTGAGGGTCTTGCTGAATTGGTGATGCTGGTTTCAAACTTGTGATCCTTCTGCCTTACCCTTCTGAGTCACTGGGATTATAGATGCATGCCATCAAGCCTGGCTTCTCCATCATTTTTCTCTGCTCCATGTCTTTTGCCAGGGTCTCTGATCGTCTCCATCATCTGCTCTAGCTTCCTGTCCCTCTAGGGTTTTCTCTGTGTGAGTGTGCCCTATGCCCTCTCCAGGGTTCTGTTTTCCTTTCTTCATGCCCAACTCTGAGTGCTAATGCTACTTGAGGCCCAGGTATCCCCTATTTCTCCTGGCCTCTTTCACCTTGGCTCTCTTTTATTGTGTGTATTTGCCAACTAAGACAGCTGGTTTTTTTTTTTTTTTTCCACTGTCTTTCCCTGTCCTGTCTGCTTCTGACTTTCCCATGCCCTAGTGTGTCTCTTTGCCTCCTTCCATCTCTGTCAAATCTATTTTCTGCCTCCTCCTGCCAGTTGGTGCCCTGGGACCCAGGGGGATGGGCTCAGTTTCTCTTCCCTCCACTTTCCAGGCCTTGAGGAGCTGGTTCTTTCTGAGATGAACTCACCAAGCCGCACCCAGACAGGAGACAGCAGTAGCATCTCCTCCTTCAGCTACCGGGAGATCTTGCGGGAAAAGGAGAGCTCAGCTGTTCCAGCCAGGGTAAGGGACAAGGAAGAGTGTGCAATCCCAGTTTTTCCTGCCTCAAATCTGGAATTGGGGCATCGCCCTATTTTTTTCCCTCAGCTGCAGCCATCTACTCTGAGTCTAGCACAAGCATTTTTGTTTTCCTTCTTGGTGCTAGGATTTGAACCCAGGGCATTGGGCATGTCAGCACATGCTCTACCACTGGAACTACAACCCAATCCCCTGGCACATGCATTTTTTTTGACAAGTTCTTCTCAATCTCATCAACTTGGATTGTTACATGGGGGACAGGCCAATCGTTTTCTCTCTTTGACCATCATGTTTCAGCATTTGTCAGCTAATTCCACCTTTCTGGGAGCCATAAAGTATGTGGTGTGTAGTAAGTGTATCTACCCATGTAGGAGGTCCCTTCTTCCAAATCACACTTATTATTCATTATTATTGCTATCTGTTATGTCAGTTTCCTTGCTAGCCAGTTTTATTTGGAATTTTTTTTTATCATTCCATAAATAGTATGTGTACATTATAGAATTTAAAAAAAAAGTCGGTATGGTGGTGCATTCCAGTAATCCCACGTACTCAGGAGGCTGAGGCAGGAGGATCAAAAGTTCAAAGCTAGCCTCAGCAACTTAGTGTGGCGCTGTCTAAAAATAAAAAGGACTAGGGATGTAATTCAATGGTAAAGTGTCCCTGAATTCAATCCCTAGTACCAAAAAACAAAGAAACAAAACAAAACAAAAACAAGTGAGTAAAGATTTTACCACCCAAAGGTCATTATTATAAATTCTCAGTTCAAGTTGGGCACAGTGTTGCCCATCTGCAGTTCCAGCTATTCATAAGGGCAAGGGAAGATCATTTGAATCCTGGAATTCAAGGCAAGCCTGAACAACATAGTGAAACCTTGATCTAAATAAAGGTTTAGTTCATACCCTTCCAGATCCCTCATTTTAAAATCCTAAATGGCACTAAGAACATGTTTTGGTTCACCTGGTTTCTACCTTCCCAATTTTAAAAATTTTCATCTTATCTAATACTCTAGTTTACCTTAATCATATTTTTCTAGTTGGCCCCAAAATGTTCTTTGTTGCTTTTTTTCTGAAAACTGAAAATCAGAATTCCATTTCAGAGCACATGTTACATCATCTCGTTATTTTCTCCCCCTTTAATCTAGTGTGGTACTGGGGATTCAACCCAAGCCACTGACGTGAGCACTGAGCCACATCCCTAGCCCTTCTTATTTTTGAGAAGGGGTCTTGCTACATTGCTTAGGGCCTTATTAATTGCTCAGGTTGGCCTTGAACTTGTGATTCTCCTCAGTCTCCCAAGTCTCCGAGATTACAGGCAGCACCATCATGCCCAGCTTTCTTTTGGTCCCTTTTTTGTGACATCATCTTGGGACAAACTAGGCCAGTTGACTTATAAGAAGTGTTCTACCTTTTGAATTTTTTTTACTTGTTTACTAGTGGTGCTTTTTCAGCTCTCACCTCCATTTCCTGTTGGCTAAAAGATCTCATTTGCTAATGTATCTCCCTTAATTTTCTCAGTAAGGCTCTGATGTGGTAGTTATTCTCTACCTGTCTTTAGATCAAGGGGAACACAGAGTTTCTGAGGGTGCCAAGACTGACCAACAGCTCCAGCCACAGGGCCCACACTTTCCCATCCAACTCCAGCTCCTGACTTGTGTCTGGGGTGGGCAGTGATGAATCTGGGGCTGGTCACTATCTCCTCTTCCTTGCAGTCCTTATCTAGTAGCCCTCAGGCCCAGCCCCCTCGGCCAGCTGAGCTGTCAGATGAGGAAGTGGCTGAGCTCTTTCAACGGCTGGCAGAAACACAGCAGGAGAAATGGATGCTAGAGGAGAAGGTACTGTCTGTCTCTCTGCTTATCCCCATTTGAAGTGCTCTTGGCCAGGCAGTGAGGAGGGGGTCTGGTCAGGCCCTCCTCCTCTCCTCATGGGTGATCATGTGCAGTTGAGGGGTCTGATGTGGGATGGGCTATTTTGCAGGTGAAGCACCTGGAGGTGAGCAGTGCTTCCATGGCAGAGGACCTCTGCCGGAAAAGCGCCATCATTGAGACCTACGTCATGGACAGCCGAATCGGTCAGTGCCCCCTCCCCTGTCCTCACCCCTTGCCATCCAGCCTTTACTTGGCTCTCCAAGTACTACTTTACTCATTTTCCATGTGTGCTGTGGCTTTTCTCTTCTTGGAACTCAGTGCATCTATTAACAAAATTACAAACCATGGAGAGGATAGCAAGGAAACTGTCTTTTTCTCTTTCTTCCTCCCCTTTTCTGTGTGCCTGTCATTCCTTTACTCCCCGTTCCTCTAATGTGCTTCTCTGGTCTTCTGTCTCCTTTCTTTTCACCATGTCTCGGCTTCCTCCTCTCTCTCCCTTCTGTTTTCTCTTTGTATCTTTTTTTTTCTGACCCCCCCTCCTTCACCTTCTCTTACTGGCTATATTGTTCTGCCTCCACAAGTTTTAATTCTCTGTATTTTTATTCTTTTTGAGGTTCTGATCTCTTCTCCCTCCTTGCTCACCTTCTCTTCCTCTCCCACCTGTCTCCTACATTCTCTCCCCTTTGCTCTTCCTTTCTGTCTTTATTTCTTTTGCTCCTTCTTTCAAACCTTCTTCTCCCCCTGATTTTTCCTTAGCAGAACAATACCTACTGGCATCTGCTGAGGGTTTACTGTGTGCTCTATAATTTGCATGCAGTCATGCATCTTTCCAACTCCATGATTTAGATATTTATCCCCATTTTCAGGGTCACATCGCTAGTAAGTGACAAAGCTTGGTTTCACATGTCAAAATCTCCACCCCCCTACATAACATGGCTTCTCTCCCTCCCCTCTCCTCTGCTTTGTTCCCCTCTTTTCTCCTCTGGCTCTGCCCATCTCTCCTCCGGCTCTGCCGAGGGGGTAGTGCTCAGCTTGGGCCCTTGCAGATGTGTCTGTGGCAGCAGGCCACACAGACCGCAGCGGGCTGGGCAGCGTCCTGAGAGACCTAGTGAAGCCAGGAGACGAGAACCTTCGGGAGATGAACAAGAAGCTGCAGAACATGCTGGAGGAGCAGCTCACCAAGAATATGCACTTGCACAAGGCGAGTGTAGCCTACTAGACTCCCCATCTATCTAACCACATGTCTCCCTAGCCACAGAGCCCCAGGTCTTCTGCCAGTCCCTATAGTCACTTACCCAGACTTTGTCCTCCCAGCCATTCTCCTACTCTTATATACACCACCCTTTCATGCTCCCATCTTTCATCTTTGGGTCAACTTATTATTCTTTGACTCGTCTCTCTTTTCTTCCACCTACCCATCCATCCATCTATTTATACACCCACCCAACCATTTATTCATCTGTCCATATTCCTACTCTTTTACCTATGTAATCATCTTTCCCAGGTCTTCCAACCATTTCCTGACCTATCCTTCTCTTTCTTCACTCACCCATTGTCTTACCTTGCCAACCTACCAGATGACTTGCCTCCCTACCTGTTGTCCTCCCTATGGCCTCTTCACAATGCATTTGTGCACCTGTTTGCCTGCCATAGATCCCTGATGTGTTTACCTACATGTCCATTGGCCCATCTCTTTCACCCAAATATTTCCCCCATCTCTGGGGGATTCATAAAGGAGTCAGACCCAGCTCCTACCTTGGAGAAGCAAGTTCACATTTAATAGAAGACAAGGTGGTGAGGGTGACAATTATATCCTCTGGCACCATTGGGCCACAGCAGGTGACCCACTACATCTCCTTAGCTCCCATCTTCTCCATGCCCAGCCTTCTGTTGAAGGCTCTGTGAACTCCAAGAACCTTCCCAAACCAGGCCAGACACCATTGGAAATGAAGGAGCCTCCCTTACCTACTTCTCTGGCCCATTATGGCTTTTTTGTTTCTTAGGACATGGAAGTTCTGTCCCAGGAAATTGTACGACTCAGCAAGGAGTGCGTGGGGTCACCTGACCCAGACCTAGAGCCTGGAGAATCCAGCTAAAGACCTGCAGGCTGCATCCACTCCCTCCCCTTGTCACCTCCCAGGATGCTACTCCCTTGGGCTATGGAGGGAAATGGGGGCTGACACCAAAATCTAGTAGTTTGGGAGACTGGACATTAAAGGGGCTAGAGGCCTGATGGCTGGTGTAAATGACCTGGTCAGGGCAGAGACACCCCCCCCCAGGAGTGGGAATCCCCAGGGAAGGGTTAGGGATTTCTCCTTGGCCCAGGCTCCCAGGGAGATCTGCCTCCATCTCTGCATGAGCTCTCCCTCCCAGAGACCAACACTTTTTTATTTTATTTTATTTTTTAATTTATGTCTGAAAGCCTGACTACTCTGCACTTGGGATTGGGGGTGTTGGGTGGGGGTGCGGTCTGTGTTCAGCGTTCTAGCAACGTGTATGTGTGTGTGCGCGTGTGTGTGTGTGTGTATAAAGGCTGTGCAGCCAAAATACCATCTGGCCAGACGGGCCCACCCACTGACTGTCTGGTCTCATTTTTTTTTTCAATCAAGGGGGATGTTCTGGGGGTCAGAAGGTCACTCTGTTGCATTGGGGAGGGAGTTCTATGAATGCAACTTTATTATTTCCTCCAACCTCAACTCACTTGTCACCTGACCAACCTCTTAAACTAAGTGGAGCATAAATATCTGCAGATATATGTTTGTGGGTAGATGTGCGTGGGGTTGTGGTATAAATCAGTGGACAGATGGGAGGATGGATAAGTGGTTGGATGGACTGATGATAAATAAGTGGAAGTTTGCATGGATCAATTTTGGCTAAGTTGGGAAATGGATGGGTGGATTGGCGGATGAATAAATGGATAGATGGATCAGTAAGTGGATAGCTAGAGAATGGATAAGTGGATATATAAATGGACAGATGATGTATAGATGGACAAATGGTTGAGTGGATGAATTGAGTATGTAGCTGGATGGTTGGATTTATGAACAGGTTGGGAATAAACTCTTGGATGAATAAGGGACTGTATCGATGGATAAGCTAACGAATAGGGAGGGTAAAGTGTGGGTGCATAAGTGATGAGTGATTGGACAGATGAATGGATACTGATACATATGGATAGGTTGGTGAATAGTTGGATAGGATGAACATACAGATGGATGAGCAAGTGGGTTGGTGGATTAATGGCTAAATAGGTGGAGGGGTGGGTAGAGTGATTGCTTATGTAGATGGGAGGGTGGACAAATCAAGAGTGTAATAAGTGAGCAAATGGAGGAATCCAATGGGTTGGTAAATGGATTGAAAGGCTACACTTCCTGTGTTACTGTGCCCTCATCACACAACTTTAGTTATCTAAGATTAGAAATCATCTGTGCCAGGCCCTGGGTCATCCCCTTTCACATCATTTCAATTAATGCTCCAAATGACATTGTCAAGTAGGGATAACTCCATTCTGACAGCCAAAGAAACAATGCAAGGCATTTCTCAAGGACATAGCAAATGTGGCAAAGTTTTGAGTTTGAACCCACCTATCCCTGCCATAGACTCTTCATACTCTGCTCCTGCGAACCAGGAGCAGAGCCCTCTAGAGGATGTGATGTGATTTGCAGTCACTGGGTGTGCACAGATAAGGGCTCCTGCCCCCTTGGCGTGAAACCTGCCTGGACTGGGGGGTGGGGCCTGAATTGTCCCTGTCTGCACTCCCTGTACCCCACATTTCATATCGCAAGACAGTGGAAGATGCATGCTCCAGTCCCATGATGGAAGTTTAAAATTGGGGCTGTGGCACACTCCTAGGGGATGGCTTTAAAGACCTGTCCGTCTGGAGAGAGCCCCCATCAATAACCCTCGCACCCCAGTTTCTCCTGCCCTTCCACAGCCTAGGGGGCAGGGAGGGGACACAGCGCTGTATCATTCCCCATGGCACTCCGCTCTGGGGCCATTAACAGACGCCTCCCCATCGATCGGTTCTGCTAAGTGCTGCTGATTCAGGCGGGTGGGGGTGGGGGCCCCTGGGGGTAGAGGGGGTAGGAACTGGGCAGGAAGAGGGGGGAGTCCAGGAAGGAGGTGGGGAGAACTGGCAAAGCTCCCTGCCACCCCCATTTTCCAGATGACGCGACTGAGGCCCAACCAGCTTTGTAGGAGGCGGAGTCTCCCCAGGGTCCCTCGCAGGCTGCCCTAGGGGAGGGGGCTCTGGGAGCCACGAGGCCCCTCCCTGCCTTTCCATCTCCCGGCAAGCTCAGAGGGGCGGGGAGAGAGCCGGAGGAGGAGGAGGAGGAGGAGGAGAACTCGGGGCAGCTCTGCAGAGGGGGCCAGCAGCTCCGGTGTTTGGTACCCCCAGCCCCACCGCTGTTGCTGCTGCTGCAGCGGGGACACAGGTGAGGACGCCCTATGGGGAGTGGGAGGGGGCCGCCAAGCACTGTCCTTGTCCTTCCCTGGTCCAGCCCCCACACCCTAACCCATCTTGGGACAGTCCCCAGGGATCCCACTGGACCTTGTCCTTCCACAGCCTCCTTCCAGGGACCCAACCCCCTCCCCTGCCTGTGCTGCCTTCCCTTCTAGGCCTGGCTGTGGCTGCCTTTTTTCCTCCTCCTCCTCCTCCTCCTTCTCCTGCCGCTGCTGCTGCTGCTGCTGCTGCTCCTGCTGCTGCTGCTGCTGTCTAGCACACACCGCCAGCCCCTCGGGGTGTGGTTTCCCCAGACCTGCCCCCATCGGTGGGACCCAGCCTTCTCCAGCCTCTCCTGCCTGTCTCCTGCAAGGTTCAGCAGCCCCCACCTCCCCGGAGACACACCCAACTCCCTTTCAACACCCCACTGTTCTCTCCAACCCATTTTTGGGGAAATCCTTGTGCCCAACTTCAGTCCGGTTGAATCCCAGCACCTTAGGGTTCCCCAGGCCCCTCTTCTCTTCTCCCAGAACTCTTCAGAGTGTGGACCAGGCTTCCTCTGCCCCTTTAGATATCCCCCTCACCCAGATATCTACCATCCTCTTACAAAATAATCCAGTCCCATAACTACCTCTTTAGCTACCCCATTCCATTTCCAGCCCCACTAGGGGGCCCTCACTTCTGCTTTCCCTAGAACTCCTGTAATATGTAGACAACACCCCCAGGCTATTCTTGGCAGCTATAGGCACTCCCAAGACACTTTTCAGCCTCTTTACAACCTCCTGGCTCTACAGCCACCCTTGAGAAGCACCAGCCCCTTTTCAGATCCCATAAGGGTGCTTCAACCCCCTTATCTTTACCCTAGAAGTCTTGAGGGTATGGACGACCCTCCTCACCTTTCTCATCCCCTCTAGAACCAGCCCCCAGGTACACTCAGCCTCTTTCAAGCACCTCTGATCCCATTTGTACCCCTCTGGATGCCCCAATTTCCTCTCCAAACTGGCTAATGGGTTCCAGACCTATTTTTCCTTTCCTGAGAACTCTTGAGAGTGTTGAGAGCTCCCCACTTGTTTCTCGGTCCCTCTAGACACCCCCAAACATCTCTCAGGCACATGCTGACCCCACTAGAATCATCTCAGAGATCCTGGGGATCCTTCTTGTCCTCTCTGATCTCCTTAAGCCCTTATTAGTCCCTCAGGACACCACAAGGGCCCCTCCCAGACCCTCTAAATGCCCCCTAAGCTCCTGTCCATCTCTCTAGTTCCTCCTCCTCGTTCCTCTTGGCCTCTCTAGACACCCCCAGTTTCCTTGTCCGGGTGGCCCAGGGCCTCTCCAAGCCCCCACCATCCTGGAGACAGCCACATTCTCCTAAACGCCACCCCCCCCAAGTCTCCGTGGGCCTGGGGAGCCGCAGGATGGCGGCAGGCGTGGCCACGTGGCTGCCCTTTGCACGGGCGGCCGCTGTGGGCTGGCTGCCCCTTGCCCAGCAGCCCCTGCCCCCAGCGCCAGGGGTGAAGGCATCTCGAGGGGATGAGGTTCTGGTGGTGAACGTCAGCGGCCGGCGCTTCGAGACCTGGAAGAACACTCTGGATCGCTACCCAGACACGTTGCTGGGCAGTTCTGAGAAGGAGTTCTTCTATGACGCGGACTCTGGCGAGTATTTCTTTGATCGCGACCCGGATATGTTCCGGCACGTGCTGAACTTCTACCGAACTGGCCGGCTACACTGTCCACGCCAGGAATGCATCCAGGCCTTCGACGAAGAGCTGGCCTTCTATGGCCTGGTCCCCGAGCTTGTGGGCGACTGCTGCCTTGAAGAGTACCGGGACCGCAAAAAGGAGAATGCTGAGCGCCTGGCTGAGGATGAGGAGGCTGAGCAGGCTGGAGATGGGCCTGCCCTGCCAGCAGGCAGCTCCCTGCGACAACGGCTCTGGAGGGCCTTCGAGAACCCACACACTAGCACTGCAGCGCTGGTTTTCTACTATGTGACTGGCTTTTTCATCGCAGTGTCGGTCATCGCCAATGTGGTGGAGACCATCCCGTGCCGCGGCCCTGCACGGCGGCCACCAAGGGAGCAGCCCTGTGGTGACCGCTTTCCGACAGCCTTTTTCTGCATGGACACGGCCTGTGTACTCATATTCACGGGAGAATACCTCCTGAGGCTTTTTGCTGCCCCTAGCCGTTGCCGCTTCCTGCGGAGTGTCATGAGCCTCATCGATGTGGTGGCCATTCTGCCCTATTACATTGGGCTTTTTGTGCCCAAGAATGATGATGTCTCGGGTGCATTTGTCACCCTGCGTGTGTTCCGTGTTTTCCGCATTTTCAAGTTCTCCAGGCACTCCCAGGGTTTGCGGATTCTGGGCTACACACTCAAGAGCTGTGCCTCTGAGCTGGGCTTTCTCCTCTTTTCCCTCACCATGGCCATCATCATCTTTGCCACTGTCATGTTCTATGCTGAGAAGGGCACCAGCAAGACCAACTTTACCAGCATCCCTGCGGCCTTCTGGTATACCATTGTCACCATGACCACACTTGGGTGAGTGCAGATCCTATGTTGGGAGCTGCACAATTACACTCACATTTTCTATAAAATCAGAAAGGTTAGATGAATGATCTCTTTTTATTTTCTTTGTGGTGTTAGAGATCCAACCCAGGGCCCTCACACATGCTAAGCACATGCTCTACCACTCTCTCTTTTTGAGCTTTAGTTTGCCCATCTGTAAAACTGGGGGAGTTGGATTTAATCTTCAAATCCAAGCTTTGACCATCCTTGATTTTCCAGGTCAGGAGACTTGGGGAAAATGATTGTCTTAGCTGTCTTTCTGTTGACATTTTCTCAGAGCCTCAGTTTCTCCCTCTATAAAGTGGGAAACAATGATTCCCTTTATCACCTAGAGAGAATTCAATGGCATCATGGTTGCAAAAGTTATTTGAATGTTTCTGGAGCAGGATAAATAGGTATTGGCTTCCTATCAACCATTTTTTCTTTTTCTGTAGGGGTGTTGGGGATGGAACCCAGGGCCTCACATATGCTAGGCAAGCACTCTACCACTCAACTACACCCAACCACATCCCCAGCCCTATTTTATATTTTATTTAGAAACAAGGGCACTTAACCACTGATCCACATCCCCAGCC